TGATATATAATTTTATATCACTAATATACAATTGTAGATCAATATAACCAGACAAATCAGATATAAACTTGTTTATAATTGATATACAGTCGTATATCAATAATGTAGTATCACAGATCAGTAACATAAAAAATATATAATCATTTTCTCAAAACAGATTAAATAAAATCTCAGGAAACCCTTGCTTGAACTCTAACTTTTGTAACAAAGTCTGACCAAACTTCCTCACCCTGATCTACAGCTTTTGTGTGGCTTTGTGTAGAAGCTGCAATTTTGAACTTTCTCACCTTACATTTGTAATTTTTCAACCTGAATTTATAACTTCCAATCTTCCTTGCCTTGTGTTCTTGTAGTCTCCTAACTGAATCTCTAACTCCATTTATCCATCGATATGAGCTGTTCCGCTGTCTATTATCAATTTTTTTGTCATTATGACCGAGAGTGCAGTGTCGTCTCTACATCTTTGGGTGGGTGAAAGCAAAACCAGTGTGAAAAGAAAAAATTAGGGTATTGTGATGCTAAAGGATAGTTTTATCTTTTGTATCAAATGTAAATTAGAAAACGACCATTATTTTAATTTAGGAAAAGGTGGGTTATCAGTTTTATTTAACCATATAATATTGGCTAAATTTGCTAAAACCTCTAAATTTTTTAACCCTTAAAAATAAAAATCCTTAATTTTTTTAAAAAACAAAATTAAGAATTTTTATATTTTTAAATTAATTATATAATTTTTATAACTCAAAATTTATCTTTTAAATATTTTTTATATTTATATAATTTTCATAAAAAGTTCATAGAAATGTAAATAGTGTATTAAATCAAATTTTTTTATTTTAGTTAAAAGTATTAAATTAAATTTTGTATAAATTTCAAAACTATTTTTATTCAGAAAACTTAATAATTATTATTAATTTTAATCTAAATATTTAATGTATCAAATTATAAGAATTTGATTAAACAAAATAAACTATAAAACGATATCTACTTTAAAATAAAAAAAATTATGAAATTAATTTTTCCAATTCATCCTTTAAATTATTGAATAAAGTAGACTTGTTGAGGGAAATGCTCACCGCAACTCTGCAAGAGAGAGAAGGTATAGGACGAACGAACAAGGCGGGTTAGTTGCCACGCCCCAAAACCCTCACACTTGTACGGCATGTTGATAGAAGTCGTAGGAGTAACAGGCAGATTCACCGGACGAAGCCATTGATATCTTCTCCAAGAAATGGGTCTTCTCTATCAACATAGGCTTCTTCTTAGACTTTCTCTCTTGTCCTCAAATATCCGCCTCATGAGCATCAGAAGCTTGCTGCATTTCCCAGCTTTTCCAAAGCGGACGACTTTTTCGTCTCAGAGGGACCTCCTTCACTCCCAGAGGCTCCTATTTTGTTTAAAAACTAGTTCGAGTATTCGTCCGTTATCACTCAGGACTAATGGTTATTCTTATGTTTCTGACTCTGAAGTCCCTAGGCCAGGTAAGGTCATCTTGACATTTGCTTTCTATTGAGAAGCTTGGAGGCTGTATAGGAGTCTTTTGGTTACTGACATTTATATTTACATTCTGAAGACTTTCTGGAGGAGAATCCAGAGGAGGAGATGTCGAGGACGCATTTCAAGATTTTGAAAAGGAAGTTGCGGGAGCTTGGGATAGATGCTCATTTATGCGGATCGGGGCAATACAACCGGTTGCTTTGTCCAAATGTATTGTTGGTTTCCTTTCTCTATTTGCAGTCTTCTGTAAACTGCAAAAACTGTTCATGTGGTTATTATTGACTGTTTTGATAGTATAGTGTGAATCAGTCTGTTTTAATATCCTTTAAGAAGTTTATCTTGATTTCTTGCAGTCACTGCTTTGCTTTTATTTATTCATTTGTTATTTATTTTATAGTTTATTGTTGGCCCGTTGGAAAGTACTTTAACTCAAAAACATCTCTCCTAGTCACAGCCTGCGGAGTCCTCAGACCTCGCTCCAAGGGCCATCTAGTTTTGGGATTTGGTCTCAATTTGAGGGATTCTTTTTCTTCTGGTGGCGTGCTCAAAGGTTGATATTTTGGGTTATGGATTTGTCTCAAGTTTGTACTAGAAGAGTGATGAGGAGCAAAGTTTTTCTCCTTTTATTTAAGCATTTAAAAGATTAAAAGATTTTAGTAGTTGAGTTAATGTAATTATACAAGAAAGTAACTTAATAAGTCAGAAATGAGTGAGTGTAATTATGTAGAAAAGTAACTTAATGAGTCAGAAACAAAGATACTTTGTTGTTCTAAAAATGACATTCCCCTATTTATCAAAACATAGACAAAACAACAGAAAATGTTGGTGTTTGAAAATGTTCTACGGCCATCCTTTAATGGGTGGTCATTTCATAGAAAGAGCTTTTATTGCTCGCTTAATACTCTTTCCGTTAAAAAATATAAGGCATTTTTAACAGAACTCACCCTTTAATAAAATAATTACTTATCTTTCAACTAGTTTTATCTTTCCATATTTACCTCTATTAAATACCCTAAAAAAATAAAGTAATCTATAAAGTAGGGGCATTTTTGGAAAAAAAGGTAATGATTACACCTCAAAAGAATTAAAATATCTTTCATTTTTAAACATCTAAGTCCTCAAAAAAATGCCTTACATTTTTGAATGGAGGGAGTACAATTTAATTGACTTAGATGCTTTGTTGGCATTTTTGATCTTAATCTTCTTTCCTAAGAAGGCCATGAAGATTTTTGGGCTACAAAATAGGACACAAAATAGGACTGGCCCACCCAACTTTCATACACTCATACCAAGCATCTCAATTTCTCAATGAGGTTTGAAAGTGATTGTTTGTGTTCTATTTTTGAGTTGCATTTTCATACTCTTGTTTTATTTTTTGACTGTTAGTGCCAAGGTGGTGATTCAGAAGAAAGGAGCTTATCTCTTTTTATCACGCAAGATGGGTCTGTTGCTAGTCATTTTCTTCATCCAATTATTTCTTTTTTTGGGTATCAAATGGATTATTTTTCTCCTGCATTTAATGATGGGAATATCTGAGTTATTCAGAGGGGCTGCTTTATGGATGTGTTTCCGAGCAAAATGTGGTTGGAAGGGCAACACAAAGGTTAGACATTTTTCAGTTTTGAAGTATTCCATTTACCCCAGAGCACAGATTTGGATGCATGTCAGCTTCTGTTTCTACTGTAGGCAGTTGCTGGTGGCCAGTCATTGAAGCACATACCCAAAACTAAGAAAAAGAAAGAACTGTCTGAGTCAGAATTGATGCTGGAACCCCTTTGTGACAAGGTTATTAAATTTCATGTTTTCTATTTTTTCCCACTACATTGAACTTTGTTGGTGCTATTGATCTTTGATTGTGCAATCACTGATTCAATACTATCAGTTACTCAGTTTTCTATTGACCACTGCTTAATTTTGTTTTATACAGCTGAGTGCATTATTACTTTTTTAAACACCCAATGCTTTAATATTTTGATTTATATTTTATAGCCAGCTATCTAACCATTATGGTTCAGTACATTGTTTATCACAACTTTGTAGCCGTCACAAGTTATTTGGGTATTACTTTCTGAGGATTTGTCATTATATAACATGGTTTTGGCATGCTTTTCCCTGTATTATTTGTGATATTGCATTTTTTTTGACTTAGGTGTACAATAGGGATTATTTTGATCGGAAATTTTGTTATGAGAGTTACAAGAGAGGAGCATAAGACATCCTCCAAAATGAACTATAAAAAGAGTCGCATAAAAAATTCCATAGGTAAAATAACGCAGCGAAACTGCAATCTCTTTGCAAATCCAAGATAACATAGCCATTAAATAAACCATGAACAGATTGGCAAACTGAGGATATGAGCACCATTCTTTTGCACCATCTATCCAAAGCTAAAGGAACTGTTGCATTGTTCTTTAATAGAACCTGGTTATTGATTTTTATTTTTATTTTTTTAAAAACTGTCTGAGTGACTCAGATGTTATTATTGATGTTCTTGATCTTATGAGCTTCTTAAAAATGCAAAGAAATTTTAGAATTTTTCGTCAATATCCTCTAAGTGAGTTTCACTTAAGAACTAAAAGTCTGAAACTTTGTATGAAAACCTATTTTTGGTCTCAAATAATTTATACCAATCAGTAAGTTGAACTACAGCCATCAACGTCGATTAGACATGCTAAAAGAGCCAACCTATCACAGGTCATGGATTAATAGGTCAGAGCATAAAACTACCTTAGTGATTTGAGTTGAAAATTTGTACTTGGCCTGTTAGGTAGGTTGGGAAAACGAACCTATAATTCAATGTTTAATATCATAATGTCTGATTATAAAAGGATATCATCAAAAAAATTTCCAATGTCTTAAATCATTGAAAAGGTAATAAATCATCTACAATAATAGAATGCAAAGAAAACAATAATTCTTAAACTTTAATTATATCTGATTCTTGTCTTATACATCATCCACAATAGTTTCATCGTCAACACTAATATCTCCATCTTCACCATGGAGATCTGCATCTTCCACAATACAACATAAATGATAATTAAATTAATAATGATTAAAATCAACAAAGAAGTAGAAAATCAAGAATAATTGTCATAGGTTGTTTCTAAATAAATAAAGATAATTAATTAGTTAGTTAAGATTGTTAGAGGAATAAAGATAAGTCAAGTTAGCATCTATGTAGAGGGAGGATGTGTAAACCTGAGACTATAAACTGGAGTACTCTTCAGAATTTTCTCCTCTCTTTGTTTTCTCTATTCCTATTTCCCTTCTTTCTCCTCTCTTTCTACCACTACACATTAGTGGTATTAGAGCTGACAGTTCTTGGCCAATATTTATGCCAGAGACTCGTTCTCAAAGCAACCAACACAACATGGAAGAATAGTCTGATGATAGTTTTTGTGCCATTGAGGAAGAAACAAGGAAGGTGGCCTCTTTACCTAGTGTTGTTCAAGCATTGTCTGCCAAAGTCAGAATCTTGGTTTGGAGAAAGCTGAGTTTGCAAACGAGGGAGGCAGCCACTATGGAAACATGCGTGGCTGTCAAAGGAATGAGAATGGTTAGCCAAGAACTGGGTATTATGATTATTGGCCTCCAATCACATGTACAAAAATGGAATTTTCGCACTTTCAATAGGCAAATATGTTGGGTTGGATTTTAAAATGTAAAAGGTACTTCCAACTCGATGAAACTCTACGGGAATGGAAAGTCATGATGGCTTGCCTGCATCTGGATGCAAAGGCTTTTTTTGGCATCAAGCACTAGAGTGGACATTAGAAGGAGAACCTTTGACTTGGGGCGTTTACATAAAAGCATTGAAGGCCTGTGTCAAACCATCTTATGAGTCTCCAATGGAATATTAGATGAGGCTTTTTGTCGGAGGACTTTGATGATGGCTTTGATACTCTTGTTTGCAAGTTGCGACTTTCATAGATTTATCTCATGTAGACGTATTCAACTAGTCTTGATGAGGAGTTTATTGTTAAAATTTGAATCTTGGAGCCTCATACATTGTAGGAAGTGAGAGCAATAGTTGAGATGTATGAGATTAATTGACAGAAGGTGTTCAAAGGTATGCAGATAAGAAGGTTGATGGATTTAGGCTTCATGGCTGATACCCATGTGTTGAGTGGCCTAGAATGGTGGAGGGCTGTGGAGACTCCATCTGGAGGTGGAACACAATAGAGTAAGAGTAAGAGATTCTTCCTCCAAGATTAATGCGTTTTCTCCTTCTTATGGGCCTGCTGCCTTTGTTTCTTCTTTGATAGGCTTTATTCCCTTGAAACAAGTAGCACAAGGGGTGAACCTAGAAGAAGTTGAAGAATTACGAGCAAAGAATTTATGCTTTTCTTGCTATAAACCATTCTCGATGGGCCACAGCTGTCCACAGAGCAGAAAATGCAATTGCTACTCATTGAACTTCATTTTGAATCTGAAGAAGTGATCAAAGATGATACTAGGTAGATGTTGGAAGTTCATGGAAGTCTTGGTGAAGCAGAAGGATCTTACAGATGAAGAAGCTAGTTGGATTTTATTTTTTCTAACTGTATCAACAACATCCAGGTTTCATTGTAACAGCCCCTTGAGGTCAAGGGTTTCGTCGAATGGGGGGAAGGGGATATTGAAATGTAATTTGTAATAAATCAAGATATTTAGTTAGTCAAGATTGTTAGAGGAATAAATATAAGTCAGGTTAGCATCTATGTATAGAGAGGATGTGTAAACCTGAGACTATGCTTAATGAATAAATCAGAGTACTCTTTAGAATTTTCTCAATTCCTATTTCTCTCCTATCTCCTCTTCTCTTTCTACCACTACACACCAAATTGTGAAAAGAATAAAGACTAATATCACGATGTTCAAAACCACACAGCCAAATGCTCTTTAACAAGTGCATTCAATTGCAAGTATAGATAAGTTGGAGGAAATTTTATTCTTCTATTGTTTGAATTTTACGATTTACAAAGGTATAGAGTTAATACATGTATACAAAACTAATCCACCTATCAAAGGTGTGGTTAGACCTAGTATTTAGTATATTCAATGTAAATATCTGTTATTATTATGTGGGATACCGGGTAGTTAAGAGTAGGAGTTTTTTATGAGATTATTTCCTATTTCTCCTCCCCTGAATCAATCTCCATTATTCTCGGAGATATGATTGTTTTCTCTCTTGTATATATTCTCATACATACCTAAGATGAATGTACAAGAGTTTCTGGGCTCATTCACTACATGGTATCAGAGCACCGTGACTTCTAGTGCTGTCTGACGCCGAGAACTCTGAGACAGAGAGTACTGAGCAGAGTCAAACCCAGTTCACAGTTCTCCCATGTCGAACAGTGATGGGTCCTCGAAGACTGATCCGAGCAGCGTAGGTGGTCCCTTCGGGTCGACTACCAGCCATGAAGGATCATCGGTACACGTTACATCAGTGAAACTAAATGGTAAAAACTACCGTATGTGGGCACAAGCTATGAAACTCGCGATCAGAGGCTGAGGAAAAATGGGCTATCTTGATGGCTTATTGAAGATCCCAGAAGACCCCAAGACGCAAGAGTTCCAGCAATGGCACACTAAAAATTCACTAGTATCATCATGGTTAATAAATGCCATGATTCCAGAAATTCAACAAAGCTTTATGTTTCTCCCCTCAGCCCATGAAATCTGGAAGGCTATACGAGATTCATGCTCTGATGGGAAGGACTTAGCTCGGATATATGAGCTCAAAACAAAGGCATGGACACTGCAACAAGGAGAATGTGATGTCACTGCCTTTTGGTTGGAATGAATGCTATATGGTAGGAACTAGACTTAATGACAGATGTGGAATGGTCTAGTAGTAGTGATGCAATTCGGTATAAGGAGAAAGTTGAAAATGAGCGTGTATTTCAATTTCTTGTGGATTAAATCAGTCCTTGGATGATGTACGAGGACGAGTCTTGAGTCGTGCACCACTCCCATCAACCAGGGAAGTTTTTTCTAAGGTACGTCGTGAAGCCTCGAGACGCAAGGTCATGCTTCTTGGCACTACCCCTACTCTAGTACCTACTCTAGATTCTGCTACTCTTGTAAGCAAGAGCAGTGACACAAATCAAAAGAATCAGAAAGGGAAGGTTACTTGTGAACATTGCAAGAAGATTGGGCATACCTGTGACACTTGCTGGGATATCCATGGAAAATCGACTGATTGGAAGCCAAGAAAAGGAAAAACACGAGGATACCAAGCTTCTCATGATGTGCCACTAGATAAAATAGATTCAACCTTATCAGCACCAAAGATTGATAAGGAACAGCTCGGTAAGTTACTTGAGATGCTTTTATGCTTCAGAAGAATGAGAAAAATTAGAAACCAAATTATATTGCGTCTGTGGCTCATAAAGGTGATTGTGCCTTACTTACCTCTACTAGTAACTTCAAATGGATTGTGGATACAGGGGCAACTGATCATATGACTTCAGACTCTAAGCTATTTAGTACCTATGTCCCTAATGCTGGAAATGAGACAGTAACTACAGCAAATGGGTCATTGTCGATAGCAGGAACAGGTAGTGTTGTTATCTCTGAAGCTATGAAATTAGAACATGTTTTACATGTACCATATTTGGCCTGTAATTTGCTATCCATTAGTAGATTAACTAAACAGGCTAATTGTTGGGCTCACTTTTGTTCCACTCATTGTATTTTTCAGGATTTCTCATTGGGGAAGATGATTGGAGTGCTAAGGTGAATAATGGTCTTCACTACCTTGATGAATCAACCGTGAGTAGTCTTTGGTCTCGAATTCAATGCAATGTCGCATCTACCTATGAAAATAAAGACTTTAAAGATCTTATGTTATGGCATAGGAGACTAGGTCACCCAAATTTTCAATATTTATGTCATCTGTTTCCAGAATTTCAAGTCAATAAAAATGCTCCATTTCATTGTACTGATTGTGAGCTGCTAAACATCACAGATCCGTTTTCAAACCTATTGAGTACAAATCTACTCGTCCTTTTTCTATCATTCATAGTGATTTGTGGGGTCCTACTCGTGTTACTAATTGAACTAATACAAAGTGGTTCATCACATTTATTGATGATCATATAGGATGTGTTGGGTTTACTTATTGCAAGATAAATCCTCTGTTCCCTCTGTGTTCTTTGAGTTTTATACAATGATAAAAAATAATTTGATACCACAATTCAAGTGCTTCATACTATAATGGAATGAATACTTCAATAACACCATGCATATGTTTCTAACAGAATATGGAATTATTCATAAAAGCACTTGTCCGAATACCCCTCAACAAAATGGCATTGCGGAAAGGAAAAACAAACACCTGTTAGAAGTTGCACGTGCTTTACTCTTCACCTACAATGTTCCTAAATTCTTTTGGGGTGATGCAATTCTCACAGCTACATACTTAATCAACCGCATGCCAAGTTGTGTTCTCTCTTATATTTCACGCTTGAAAAATTACAAGAATGTCACTCTGTCACTCACCTCACCACTAATCTTCCCCTCAAAATCTTTGGCTGTACCACCTATGTTCATTCTCATCATTCCCATAAATTGGAACCCAAAGCTGTCAAATGTCTCTTTCTTGGTTACTCTTCCACACAAAAGGGGTATAAATGTTTTGACCCTACTACCAAATGACTTTACATCAGCCGGGACGTTACCTTTGCTGAAAATGAACTTTTTTATCCAAATGCCTCAATTCAGGGGGAGAGGGGAGTGATTTTCAGCCTTTGGAAAGTGAGAGGAGTGAGAATACTCAATCCACGATCCTTTGTTCACGAGCTCAGATCCTTTGTTACCTATACCAGAAAATTCTCGGGTTCTTAGGCCAGAAACTGAAGTGAAAAGTCTTTCAAAATATAATAAAGATGCTGGTATTGCACTAGACAAGACACCAATAACCTACTCAAGGAAGAAATGGAAAAAGAGGGAGACTATTATGACTGACGCAAAACTAGAATCTGAACTGAAAGAGGTTCCTGAAGCGGAGAACGTAGAAGGTGCTGTTTTTCCTCAAGAATCCGAGGAAGAAGCAGTGACCGAAATGGAGGAAGTGGATGAGTTAGACTTACCTATAGCTCTCAGAAAGCAACCGAGGGCCTAATAGTTACCATACATTATCCTCACAATTTCATGCATTTATAACTGTTCTTGACAAGGTAAAGATTCCTAATGATGTGCATGAAGCACTAAGTGTACCTGAATGGAAGAAGGTTGTAATGGAGGAAGTAAATGCCTTAGAAAAGAATGACACGTGGGAGATAGTAGATCTTCCAAAAGGAAAGAAAATTGTGAGCTGTAAGTGGGTATTTACCCCTAAATATGATGCTGATGGGAAATTAGACAGATTGAAAGCAAGGTTGGTGGCAAGGGGGTTTACTCAAACATATGGCTTGGATTACAAAGAAACATTTGCACCTGTGGCCAAGCTTAACACTATCAGAATTTTGATTTCTGTAGCTGCAAACTTGGACTGGCCCTACATCAACTAGACATAAAGAATGCCTTCTTAAATGGTGACCTAAAAGAAGAAGTTTTCATGACTTTACCCCCAGGTTTTGAGGAAGGGAGAACCAATCAAGTGTGTAAGTTGAAAAAATCTTTGTATGGGTTAAAGCAATCACCTCGAGCCTAGTTTGACAGATTCTCAACAGTTTTGAGAGCTGAAGGGTATAAGCAGGGGTTGGCTGATCATACTATGTTTGTGAAGAGGGAAAATGGAAAAAGATGTATCCTCATTGTATATGTTGATGATATAATTGTCACAGGTGATCATAAGGAGGAAGTGGATAGAATAAAGAGGGCTCTGGGAAAGGAGTTTGAAGTGAAAGAGTTGGGCAACTTGAAGTATTTTCTAGGTATGGAGGTTGCAAGGTCACAGCAAGGGATTTATGTGTCCCAAAGAAAATATATTATTGATTTACTTGCCGAAACTGGCATGTTGGGATGCAGACTTGTAGACACACCCATTGTTGTTAAGAAAAAAAAGGGGAAACTGAAGGAAAATCAGGAAGGTGAGGCAAATGGAGTTGAATCCAAGAAATATGGTGTGGGGAGGAAGAAGAAGAAGAAGAAGAAGAAGAAGAAAAGAAGAGCTAGTAGACAAAGAAAGATACCAAAGATTAGTTGGTAAACTAATTTATCTCTCTCACACTAGACCAGACATAGCTTTCACAGTAAGTGTTGCAAGCTAATATATGTGCGACCCCAGAGAGAGGCATATGGAAGCCGCATACAGAATCTTGAGGTGCTTAAAGGGCATACCTGGTAAAGGATTGCTGTTTAAGAAACAAAACCTAAGATCTATAGAAATATATATAGATGCAGATTGGGGAGGAACATACAAGGATAAGAGGTCAACATTAGGTTACTGTTCCTTCGTATGGGGAAATTTAGTCTCTCGGAAGAGTCAGAAGTAAAGAGTGGTCTCAAGAAGCAGTGCAGAATCAGAACTAAGGGCTCTAGCTCAAGGCATCTCAGAGGTACTATGGGTAAAAAGAGTCATGGGTGAGATACATGTCAAAATTGATTCCCCATTGAAGCTTTATTGTGATAATAAAGCTGCAATAAGTATGGCTCTAAATCCAGTTCAGCATGAAAGATCCAAACATGTGGAGATTGACAGACATTTTATAAGGGAAAAGGTTGAAGAAGGAGTCGTCTGTCTCATTTATCTGCCAACAAGACTCCAAGCTGTTGATGTGCTCACCAAAGGATTACAAAGAATAGCATTTGATAGTTGTATAAGCAAGTTGGGCATGATTAGTATCTATGATCCAACTTGAGGGGGAGTGTGGTTAGACCTAGTATTAGTATATTCAATGTAAATATCTGTTATTATTATGTGGGATACCGGGTAGTTAAGAGTAAGAGGTTTTTACGAGATTATTTCCTATTTCTCCTCCCCTAAATCAATCTCCATTATTCTCGGATAGTTTTTTCCTGTATATATTCTCATACATACCTAAGATGAATATACAAGAGTTTCTCGGCTCATTCACTACAAAAGGAAACAAAAATCAGGAGAACAAAGGAAATAATGGTTAAGCCCTAAGAATATGCTTTAAAAAAATTGCTAAATTCTTGCACCCTAAAGACTAGGGATCTCAACAAAGATTTTGTTTTTCTTTGTTTTGTTTTGTTTTGTTTTTTTTTAATTTTAGGCCAACAACAACAAGCCTTATCACACTAGGTAGGGCTGGCTACATGGATTTCACGATGTCATTGTGGTCTATCATTAACCAAGCTTTTAGGAATATTGTTAATCAAGAGGTCTTGTTTAGCAACTTATATAAGTGTTCTCTTTACTCTTTCTCTACTCCTTTTTACAGGGCTCAAGATTATTTGTTTTATTCTCTTCACTAGTACCTCCCATGGCTTTATCTATACATGTTCAAACTATTTCAAACAATTTTCTACCATTTTTTCCTTAATAGATGTCACGCCCACTTTTTCTCGTATATGCTCATTTTGGATTCTACCCTATCACAAATAACTCCCTTTAATTTTTGGGCCAACACAAATAAGATTTTGATACTGTTGGGGTTATCTTTGATTTCTTTGCGTTTATGCATAATATCATAAAGTATAAACATATAATTATATTAGAATACTGATGTATTATAATGTGTCAAATAGGCCAACACTGATTTCATGGGTTGGCTTGTTTGACTTATATGTTTTATAAGTCAAGTTAATTTGATCCTCCTAAATAGTTTTCCAATAAATCCTCATCATTAACCCTCCAAGTTGGGGGTTAAACAGTTCAACTTGGAGGGTTCAGTCCGTTTTGTTGGCTCTAAGGTGAAGCTCAAGTACTAGGAAAATATTGTAGATGTGGCATGGCATATAAGTAAATCTGTAGATGCTGCATGTTGTTTTCCTCATAATCTTGGTCAAGCTTATGGATGTATCATTCATTTAGAGGGCCTCTTAAAGGGAAATGGATTTTGTTTCCTTTGTATGGAAAACAATATATGTAAAGGCTAGACTACTACTACTATTTTATATATAAAGATATGTTTTTACAATGGCTTGTTTTTTGGTGTTTTTTTTTTTTGGAGGAGATGAAGGGCATTACTCATCTACTAAATCACTGTTTTCCTTTCATTTTATATTTGTTTTATATACTAAATGAACTCATAGATGTTTGGGGTTCATTGTTCTACACTTCTATATTACGTAGATGCAAAATGACAATTCTAATATATTAATTAGTAAATTACATGAAGTATGAGGAATACATTGCATAGGCTATTAATGTTATGTTTGGTCTGTGTTTGTTTAGTACATAATGTATCCTTCATAGTTGCTTCTGTTAACAAATGTTAAGTTTTGTTGGCATGTGTAGAATATTGATTATATCATGTTAGTCTGTTTCCTTGCTATATAGTGAACACAACTTTAATTTGTTTTCCCTCTTCCAGCTGATTGCTTATTTCGCAGAACGTTTGATTTCAAAGGAGACTCTACTGAGAAATGGTGTTAAGCAGAGAATGTTTGGATATCAGGTGAACTTCCTGGATATTTTTATCTGGGTAAAATATATTCCTTCTGAGCATCATTATTTAATTCATAAAGTAATCCTGGTGGTTAGGAAAATTTCTTTCATTACTACAGACTGACACAGTCAAAACTCATGACATTGGAAGTCTTTTTTCCTCCCTTACAAAATTCTTCACGGCATTCTTCGAATAGTTGTTTATTTTTTAGATTTCTGCTGGAGCATAACACCAGTTCAGATTCCAAGAGTTTATTCCTTCAAAGTTCTGAAGGATCATGCATACTACCAACTCATTTTCAAATATTTGAAGAAAAGAAAGAAAAATAAGTAAATAGAGAATGCAATGAAATACTAACTTTCAAGTCTGTGTGGAAAGTTGAAAGCGTTATTCCTAGCAATTAGCCAAGCAAGGATTCAACTATAACAAGACAAAATTTTAAAATGTCAATGACAATGAAAATAAGAAATATCTTCTCATTTTTTTTTTTTGATGTTGCTATTGGTCCATCCCCATTCTTTTACTGTTTTACAATCTACTAACCTGCATCATTACTTATTTCTGCAATATACTTGTGCAGATTGTTATTGTGTTTCCATATCATCGTCAAGGAGATCTTGTTAGTTGCAAGTATCGGGACATGAACAAGAAATTTTGGCAGGTATATGCTACTGTGGATTCTGAACATGTTAACACTGGGTGGTAAAATTTATCTGTTACGAATTTTTCTTTTTGAATTGAAAGAATCAGATGCTGAAAGGTGATGATTCAATCTGGAACGTGCGTCCAATTTAGATGTCATTTAGACTTTAGGACTGTTTTGCTGAAAGCAACCTGAAGCTTCTGCCTATGGCCAGATTTTAATTAAAGCTTTTTCTAGAGACTGATATTTGCACCTTGCCTGGATTAACCAGTTCAATTGTGCTAATGAGGAGTTGGTGAGCAATTAAATAATTTACCCTGATCTGATGTTCTGAAAGCTGCATTAGCCATTGAATTGGTTGAGGCATTGGTTTACGGTAACTGTCATACTGTGGTTGGACTATAATTAATAAATTAATGTATTTTGAATAATATATGCTTAAAATAAAAAAGAAATGATCACAAAATGATTATTAAATCCAAAGAAAAGTAATACTCTCTTTGGTCTTTATTGTAGGACACTTTTAATCATTTCACGCATCTTGAGAATTTTTTTTTTGATATCATAAATAAAAATGATATGTACTTTCATTTTTACCTTGGCTTTTAAATTACGATATAACTTTGTTAAATACCTTCACGTTAATCAATAAATGGTAAAATTGGAAAAGTTGTTTAATTATTACAATGTGCCCTACATTTTGGATAAAAAATTACTTCTAAAAGGTGTCCTACAAATAAGACTGGAGGGAGTTAATAAAAAAATAATAATATTCATTAGTACTTCATAGTCTTCATTGAAAATGTATTTGTTTATTTCATAATTTATAATTTTAGAATACACACACACGTGCTTATTTCTTGCCTATTTGTCCAATATTCATTGTTTCTTAATGCTTATCAGGTACAAATATGCACAAATCATAGCTTAAAAGCGTGAATTAAATTTAAAACATAAAATTAAAAAAATATGCGACAGGTTCACCCATTGGCTCTACACTTTTACTAGCTTTGACTGGTTCTTAGTTAGTTCAATTGGTTTTTGGCCGATTCTCTCCTCCCCTAGCGGTTCAACTAGTCAAATTGGCCGGTCAGTCTAGTTTGCGGAACACAAACTTGACCCTTAGCCAATTGAATTTTCTTTAGAGGAGACACTACCATAATCAAACAAGCAGCAAGAAAATCTTATAATAATTGCTGTAAAGGTGAACAGAATATCTAAAGAGTGAGTTGTTGATATAGCATATTGGCATAGTATGATCTGTGTACCTAATCTTACCTAGTGGGATAAGGCTTCTTATTGTAATTGCTGCAAAAGTCCTCCATACAAATGCACGCCATTTCTTTATAAAAATTCATCTTAAAAGGAGACCTTTTGGTGTGTTATAGCTGTTGTTGCTTTTATGATCTCTAAATAAGAGTCCTTTAAGATGTTAATTGCTCAGCCAACACTAGGAACTGTACTGGATTATAATTATTTACCTGTATCAGAAGCTATGGAAGATAAGCTGCTTGCATATAAAATTGAGTTGGTGTTTAATCACTAAAAGGGTACTTGCCAATCTCCTATATAGGTATATTATTAAATGTTGAACCACTTTAACCAGTGAAGTTTTAATTTTCAAGCAGACAAAGCTAAACGTAAGTTTCAGACTGCTGTTTATAATTTTCTGTTGTCCAAATGCTTGTAAAAGGCAGATTTAAGTCTGATCTACATCTTGAAATTTTGTGTTGATACTTAAGATTTCTGGAATATAAACTCCAAGAGCCTAGGAAATATAAATTGCAAATCCTTTTGACACTCCCTATTACATTTTAACTCATCCTAAATATCTCAACAGTTTGAAAAAGATTTTAGGGTAAACATGTTACTGCTTTTGAGACTGAGATAATGTGGGGAGATATCCCCCCATTTCTTGCACATCGGTGCACTAGACTCTGACATGTTAGGCACCAGGTCAAGTATAAAAAGCAATATTTATTGGCATGGTGATATTTTTGGAATTGAAATATGAAGAGATTGATACGTAATTTAATTGAACTCTATTTAAATTTCTCACCTTGTAACTCAGATTTTCTTTTCAGTGTCATCAATTAGTATTCTGTTCCTGTTATTTTCTTTTATGTTTCATTTTCTTTTTAATTGTAACTTGTTTTTCTTTTTGTCATTGCCGTATCATGCAAGATATTTATGCTCATAGCATTTTTTTCTGCCTGTTGTCAAATTCTTTAATTTTATGGCAATCATATCTTTTTGAGTTTATGACATTATAGATTACAGATGTTGCATTGACCCTTTAATGTTCTGTTGCTTCAGGAAGCAGACACTGAAAAGATTTTTTATGGATTGGATGATATTGAGGGGCAAAGCGATATTATCATTGTATGTATCTTCATTCCTGTGAAGAAATTATTCGAAGGGCAAAGTTTTGTTGTATTTTTAGTTTATAACTTAAGTAACATAGGTTGAAGGTGAAATGGACAAACTTGCAATGGAAGAAGCTGGCTTTCGCAATTGTGTGAGTGTTCCTGATGGTGCACCTGCAATGGTCTCCTCAAAGGGGTTGCCACCTAAGGAGAAGGTTTGTGGTATTTAGTTATTAAGTATGTGTGTGTATCTGTACATCAACTTGGAAGGTATCTTCTGCTGCTCTGCGTATTTGATGCATGCATTTTAACTTCTAGAAACTATTTGCTCCAAGATGAATTGTGCTACTGTCTTTGATTGAGGGAATATATAGCTGGATACAATAAATAGTCTCCCTCTAGTAGGAGTTCAAGCAAATCAATCAGCCTTTGATCCCTCCCAACCAATCAAATGTTGAGTTCGATGGTGAAAGTGAGATTCAAAGATGGGGGAAGATATTTGCTATTTATCGTATGAAATTTGTACAAATGGAGGTCGAATATATATCCATACCCATAAGGCGTAACATATTTGTGGCAAATTTTTCCAAGATCTGACAAAACTGCTTTAACCAAAGTTAGACTTTCCAACTTATCTTTTCAAGTAGATGTTGTTCTCACTAGCCTTAACCCAAGTTAGATTTGAAGAACTTAGTCATGCTTGTTAGATTAGCTGGTCATCCAAGAGGGGGTGAATTGGCTGTTTTTATATTTTTGCCTTTGTAAGAATAAAGGCAATCCAACGCTAACAAACACAAAATAGGGATGAATAGAAGGGGGTGGTGCAAAAGTGAAAGGAGAAAAAAATGAACAAGTACATACATAGAATTTATCCCGGTTTAGCCTAAACAAACTGGGCTTACGATCAATCTTCAAGAACTTAATAAGATTTTCCACTATTCTCACAAGTTTTAACACGGGCACTTGCGAAGCTACAATACAACACAAGGGATACTGTTATATGATTTAGATTGGAACCAAAGAGAGAGGGGAAAAGAGAGAGAGAGAGAGAGAGAGTAATTGATAGAATTTGTAATAAACAACACTATAAGGGCTCGTTTGGGACGCAACATTGGCTAAGTGGGATTGGGCTTAGGATTGAGTAATACCAAGCTTTTATGTTTGGTAGGTGGTAATGACAAATTTATTCCCAAACCCAATCCCATCTTGGTGGGAATACCCAATACCACCTCCCCCCTGGTACTGCAATTTCCATCTTAGGATTGAAATTTTCATGACTGAAATGCCCTCATCAAAAACCTGCCCAGTCAGCTTACTCCTCCATCATTGCACACGGATCTCTTCCATCATCCTCGACCTTGCAACACAGAGATGACAGCGACTGAAGACGATGGAAGAGAACTGCCACAGCACAGAGATAGGGAGGGCATGGATTGACAGCAACATAAAGACAGGAGAGTTCGTGACCTGAACGAAACTCCTTGCAGCGGTAGATGACAGCAACTCCAGCAGCGACGGTGATGGAAGAACGAGCTTAACAGCAACTGGCAAGGACGAACGATTGGTAGCGTGAAACAAAGGAAAGGCAAGAATCTCATTCTAGACCTCCCAGCAATGGCAGACGTGCTTGCCCACCACGCCAATGACGTTGAGGACGGTGGAAGAGGATGGAGATTGAACGATAGAGGTGAGGGTTTCTGAAAGAGAGAGGATGATGATGGAGATGAGGGCAATATTGTCTTTTAGCTATTTTTTTGGGTTAAACTTGAGTTTGTTTTTTTTTAATCCCATGTTATACCAAACATAATTTTAAAACTTGTTTCTAATCCCAATCCCAGCCCCAATTCCAGTCCCAATCCCAATCTCAATCCTATAAAATTCAATACCTTATACCAAACAGGGCCTAAGAATCCAAATAATGAATGAGGTACACCATTGCCCTTACATATGTATATTTGTATTTATAGGCATCCTATTCTCATAGATATCCTAATCTATCCTAATCCTCCTAATATAATTTGAACAATTTGGAGGATGGATTCTCTTTTAATTTTATTCACAATAGTAGATACAACTTATAGGGGAAGGATAGCAACATTTTTGCTAGTTCAATCCCAATGAATCAATGACTATAAATGGTGGAAATTATGAAAATCGTGGTATTGAAAACTAGACTAGATTGGTTGGTCAGACTGGTGAACCTGTCACTTGGCTAGTCTGGTCATCCAGTCAAATTGTAAAATCTGCAGCCTGGATTAACTTGGTTCTAAACTGGATAAACTCGCCAAATTGAGATAGGTCAACCGGGTCAATCGGGTTGAAGATTAAATAGGAACATGGACGTTGAAGAACTAGACGAAAGAAAAGGAAGAAGAAGAAAATGAGCTTCTGTTGTAGAGATGAAATTTTGAAAAGAAAAAATGAAGAAAAAATTTGTGAAGAAGACAATATAAGAGAAATAAGGGGCTAAAAAAATCATCTCACATGGGGGTTTGTGGTTTGCTGGTTCAAATCAAATTGAAGGCACCAACCGTTGCATGTTAATGCAAAGAATAGAGATGATGGATGGTAAGTGTGAAAAAGAAAAGAGATGATGAAGAATAGATGATGGACAGTAGGTCGGAAATAGAAGGCAAGAAAAAGAGAGATGATCTTTTAAAAATGAAGAGTAAGAAGATTCAATATAAAAGTGATATAAGATAGGAAATGACCCCTTACATTTTTCAAAGATGAGATGTGTATGCAGACATTGGGAGAATCATTTTGATTAACATTGCATCCTTGTCAATAAGGTTTTTGTTTTCTTTTATTTTTTACTTGTTTACTTGTTTTGAAGAAATGTTAGCCTTGTAGGATGTTTTTATCCCCAACATGTTGGGACCCACCACCAATAGATGTGTTTTGTGGTGTTGTCCACTTATTTGAACCCAACAAAGCATTTTGAAACCCATCGCAAAAATAAGACTCGTTGCCCTTTGGACTTTTTATGTATCTTCCGCCTTTTGGAGATTGCGATCTTGCACTTGTGCGATGCTTTGAGCTTCTTGCAGTGATCGCGGCTTCAAGATACAATCCTGAGTAGCAAGGTCCTCGTCTAGTCTTGCTACATATGCCTTTAAGGCTTCCACATAGTCTTCCCAATAAAGCTGTTCACCCCCCTTTTGTCTGCGCAAAAGATTGATGCCATTGGAATGCCTCCTTTTGCAAGTGAATACTTGTCGCGGTAACCTTCTATGAATCTATGTTTCATCCAAGCAAAAATAATGTTCGCACTTCAAAAGCCACCCGAGAACGTCATTTTGCTAGAATCTTGAAATTCTAGTTTGGGCTGATGGATGTTGCCTATGTTGTTGGAAGATGACTATTTACCATTGCGGGATTCATTAAAATGTACAAGTTGAGCTATTTGGGTGGTGAGGGCTTGGAGTTGATTCTCCAAGGTATAAAGTCTTGCATCATTCCAATCTGTCATCTTCTTGAATGCAGCTTGGGAACATGTTTCTGGCATATAAAGGTGAGGAAAGATAGGCTCTGGATATCACTAATATGGTGGAAAGAGAAGGGAAGAAGAGTTGTGGGTAGGAGAGAGAAAGAGAAAATAGAGGAGAATTCCTTAATAATATTGTGGTGCGTTAAGAGAAAAAATACACACCACTTATCTAGACTTAGAGGCTATACTTACTGACACTAAACTCTTATAACAACAACTAATGAATATATCCCCTGTAATAGATAACTATTATTTATATATTATTTATATATCAGTAAGATCTTGTACTAAACATCCCATAGGGAATTGTGTCCTATGACAATTTATCATATGAAAACTTTCAGGGCTAGTATTTTAGCTGAACAGATCCTTAAAGATATAGACAAAGGTATGAAAATTCTTGCATGGAGAGCTGCAATTGATGAGCAAATGGTAGCTTTGGAAAGGAACAAGACAGGGGAGATAATAGAACTACCAAAGGGTAAGGCTACTGTTGGTTGCGGATGGGTTTTGACTAACAGATATAATGCTTATGGCAGTTTGAACAAGCACAAAGCATGGTTGGTGGCTATAAGGATTCACCCAAATCTATGCGATCAACTATCAAGAGACTTTTGCACAAATGGCAAAATTCAATGCCATCAAGGTATTGCTCATTAGTTGCATATCAAATGGATGTGAAGAATGAGTTCCTGAATGGAAGATCAAAAGAAGAGGTGACATGGAGATTCCCCCTGAATTCAAGATTAGAAGAAACCAAAATAAGGTGTGTTGGTTACAAAAATCACTATATGGCCTCAAATATTCACCTTGAGCATGGTTTGAATGATTCTCAAAGGCTGTACAAAGGTGTGGGTACTATCAATGCTAGTCAAATCACACACTATTCATAAATCACAATGATGGAAGGAATGCTATCTTCATAGTCAATGTGGACGACACCATTATTATTGGAAATGATCTCAGTGAAATTGAATGCCTCAAGAGACTACTTGCTAAGGGATCTTGCATCCTTAAGGTATTTCCTGGGCTTGGAAGTTTCACAGTCAAAGTATGGAATTGTGGCATCATAGCTCGAATATACTCTCGATCTTCTTCAAGAAATAGGGATCCTTGATTGTAAGCGAGCTGCTACTCTCATGGGATTATATCATAAGTTAGGAACAAGAAAAGGCTGCCCTCTTGTAGATAAAGATATATATCAACATCTAGCTAAGAAACTGATATACTTATCCCATACTAGACCCGATATAGCATATCCTGTAAGCATGGTGAGCCCATTTTCTAGTCAACCCAACCACCTTTATATGGTATAATTTGGCAACATGGAGAAGTCAGAAACAATTTGTAGTTTTGAGAAGTAGTGCTAAAGTAGAGCTCAAAGCACTAGCACATGGCGTTTGTGAAGGTTTGTGGATTGAATGATCGGTCAAAGAACTAAAATTGAGTATGACAGGTTGATGTAATTCTTTTGTGACAATCTAGAACTATATGGATTGTAAAGAATCATATTCATCATGATAGGACCAAACATGAGATATATTCCAACAAGATTGCAGACTGTTGATATGCTCACAAAATCCTTAGCTAAGCCCAAGTTTGAGAATCTAGCAAGCAAGCTGGGAATGATAAACATCTATTCACCAGCTAGAGGGAGAGTGTTGGTGAATGCCGATGGCCTTTGCCCAAAGGCTTATTAGCCTATTTAGTTATTAGGGTTAATAATTCAGATCCTGCTGTTATTATATTTATGAGTTTCTGTTATTGGAAAATAATACTAGAATAGTCAAAGATTTTAGTAATTAGATTCTGATTATGAGATTTACTGCTGTAACCCTAGGCTCACTTAGATTCTGATTATGAGATTTATTGCTGTGGCCCTAGGCTCCTTTTTATGTATAATGTTTATGAAAAAAACAGAAACTGAGACGTTAATTCACATTAAATTTCAATAACAAAGCCTAGCACAGTCCTTTCTTCCTAGCATTGTTAGTCTTCTTCCCAAGATCCCTAGAAATTGCCATGAGTATGAGATTTAAACTAGCATTAGAAATCTTTAGCAAGTTTTTTGACAAACATTAGGCTGCTGTGTAATTTATCCAATAAGCATATGCTTTGAAATCATATTCAAACTTACTGCAATTCCTAGGCCACTCGCTTTACTTTTTGTTTCAAAAGTAATCAGGACATCGAACAAATGTATCAAGAGTAGAAACATCAACTACCACATGGTATGTGGAAATGGAGTCAAATATCCAAGTATTGGATTTTTTAAGTTGAGTCATGGAGGGGTTACAATTACATGGCTTCTCAATGAGTCAGTTTCAATATGTGCATTGGGTGACTGATCTTAGTAAAATAATCTCAACATGGTTTTCTACCTTCTGCTGTTTTGGGTGAGGAGCAGTATTATTTCTAGGGGTTAAAGGGCATTTTTACCCTTAAAGTATTTTTCGAGGAGCACTCAGCACCTTAACGTTTTTGTTGGAGTAATTTTGCCCTTAAAGTTATTAAAGCGGAGCATTTTTGCCCTTTCCGTCAAAACTCCAATGTTGGCTTCAAACATTGATTGTTAGAAAATTTGACGAAAAGGGCAAAAATGCTCCGTTTTAATAACTTTAAGGACAAAATTGCTTCAACAAAAACGTTAGGCTGTTGGGTGCTCCTTGGGAAATACTTTAGGGACAAAAATGCACCTTTACCCTTATTTCTAGCAGCCACAGCAGAAGATTCAATCATATGTTGAATATTTTGTCCACCACCTCAGCTTTTCCTGATTTCTTCCCTTGTCATAGAACGCTTCTCGATGTGAAGGTAAGGTCAAGTAGACATGGTTCTCCCCTTAACTTCTTCAAAGATAGGATTAAGTCCCCAAAAGAGAAAGTGTAAATCCTTTTCTGTTTGTGTTAACTCTTCTCCAAATCCTTATCAGTTTTAAAAAGAGCTGATACGATAAGATATTAGAGTTATGTCAAAATTAAAAAATAAATTGTAAACTATGTAAACATATACCTAAAATACAGTTATAGAATCCATGGTAAAGGAAACATGACACAACAATGTATGTTTGTGTGTTTATTGAAGCATGTAAACATGGAGTCAACTTGACCTTTTGTGAATTTGCATGGAGTCAAACTCATGAGTTTGAGAACCTTGACCACTACTGTGCCATTGCCTAAGGCACTGTGGGTTGCTGTTAAAAACTATGCCCATACGAAGGATGTTCCCCCCTAAAAATGCTGTAAAATGAAGGATTGAATTCCTACCTACTTAGTGAGTGAAGTTTTTAATTTTGATATTCAAGGACCACTTCAGCCAAAAACTTAAACTGTTGGGGCTTATAAAATTATGATTGATTTTATCATCTCTAAAAAGTACAATTGTCATTTCATATCAAGTTACAGTTTTTTCTGCTTTCCCGTTGTTTGATTGCGATATAGTCATAGATCTAAAGGAGATTGAACATGATTAATATTTATTCACTTATCTATTGCCAATCTTTTATTATGTGGTCCTGTGTTTTCCTTATAATTTGATGCTTGTCTTTTCTGTGAGGCTAGGACAATAAGTATCTGTATCTGTGGAACTGCAAAGATTATATTAAGGGGGTATGTAAATATTAATCATTGTCTTTTAATTATGGATGTGCAGGAATTAAGGGTTTCCTCAGTTCCTTTTTAAATCTTCATATTGACAGGCATCACGCATTATACTTGCAACTGATGGAGATCTACCTGGTCAAGCCTTAGCTGAGGAACTTGCTCGTCGCATTGGGAAAGAAAGGTTCAATCCAATCTCCTAAATTTTTTGCATATATCAATTTTATTGATCCATAAGTGAATTCCAAGCTGTTACACTTCCCATGTGTGGACCTTTACATTTTGTTTTCGATTAAGTATTGTGATAATTTTTTTTTTGGCATTTTTATTATATAGTTGTTTTTTGCATGTTTCTGGGTTGAAGTTTTACTGTTATCATATTTTTTGGTTGCCACTTTATCTTTAACCCTTCAATCGATAACTCCTTTTTGCTGCTTGTGTGACTTCATTGTTTTGGAGGTTTTGCATTAATTTTGGAACTTTTGTCTTGTGTTGCGCTCATCATTTTGGCTTCATATGGGAGATCTCTAGAGGTTGTAGATTGAACTAGGATAATTACGAAAAGTTTCTTTGGCTGTTGTTATAGAGATGCTGTGATTGATCATTAAGTTAAATATGAGATTTGTTTCAGGCCTAGGGAACTGTGCTATAGGATTAGGGAATCTGATGAATAAGGTTACTGCTTTGGTGTAGTTATGCCATTTTTCTTGAAATTTGAAGTACTATTTTTGGTTTATTTGTTGGGGAGGAGTTCCAGGATCTTCAAAGGAGTTTCCTTGCCTTTGAATTTATTATAGGATGATGATCTACTCATGGCTTTTTGTAGGCTTTTTAGATCAGAATAGTCGAGTATCTCATTGCAAGTGTAATATATACAGTGTACATGTATCAGTTATAAAGGGAAAAAAATAAAATCAGATCGTATCCCTTATTTACCCCCCATATTCTTGGCTAATCACATCCCTATAAATCAGGAGTAATAAATAATAATTAATCTCTAATTTATCCTATTTCACACTCTCCCTCAAGTTGGATTATAGATGCTAATCATGTCTAACTTGCTCATACAATTCTCAAACGCTGGTTTATGTAACCCCTTGGTCAACATATTTGCTGCTTGAAGGTTTGCTGGTAGGAAAATCAAACAAATGATTCCATCTTCTACCTTCTCCTTGATGAAATGTCTATCAATTTCTACATGTTTTGATCTCTCATGTTGTATTGGGTTTAAAGCCATACTTATGGCAGCCTTGTTGTCACAGTACAATTTTAGTGGTAGGTCTAACCTAACATGGATTTCTTCTAGCACATTTTTTAACCATATTTCTTCCATCATACCTTGAGCTAAAGCCTTTAACATAGATTCAACACTACTTTTGGAAACAACTCTTTGCTTCTGACTCTTCCAAGTAACCAAATTTCCCCACACAAATGAACAATTACCAGAAGTGGATCTTCTATTTGAGTGATGTCTACCCCAATCAGCATTAGTGTGTACTTCTATGGTTCTCCGTTCGTGTTTTTGGAACAACAAGCCCTTACTAAGGGTGCCTTCTAGATACCTTAGGATCCTCTATGCCATGTCCATGTGTTTCTCCTTTGGCTCACACATATACTGACTAGCTAAACTCATTGCGAAGGCTATGTCAAGTCATGTGTGGGAGAGGTAGGTAAGTTCTCCTACCAGCCTCTGATGTCTCTCTTTATCAATTGGTTTCTGTTTCTTCTCATCTTCTTCAACTAGTTCAGTTTTTCCATCAGAGTTTTCTTCTGTTGTTCTAGATACTTGCCTCTTCTTTGGAACAATAATAGGTGTTTCAAAATGTTTACACCCCAACATTCCTGTCTCCTTTAAGAGATCAAGTATGTATTTGCTTTGAGATATGTATATACCCTTCTTCGATCTTGCAATTTCCATTCCCAAGAAGTATTTTAACTTTTTGAGGTCCTTGACCTTGAATTCTTGACTTGGTGCAGTCTTGATTTTCATGATTTCCTCACCGTGATCACTAGAGATAATTATATCATCGACATACACAAGGAGCATACATCTCTTATCTCCATCCAATTTGACAAACGTGGTGTGATTTGATAGTCCTTGTTTGTAGCCCTAAAACTTTAGGACTTGTGAGAACCAATCAAACCACGCTCTAGGCGACTGTTTTAACCCATACAAGGATTTCTTCAGCCTACATACTTTATCACCTTTTCCTTTATCAAAGCCAAGCGGCAAGGTCATATAAACTTTCTCTCTCAAATCTCCATTTAAGAAAGCATTCCTAATGTCTAGCTGGTGAAACGGCCAGTCAAGATTTGCTGCTATAGATAACAGCACCCTAATGGTATTTAGCTTGGCCATTGGTGCAAAGGTTTCTTGATAGTTGATGCCATATGTCTGTGTGAATCTGTGGTTGAAGACGAGCCAGAAGAGAATTGAATCACTTTTATTCTGCAATATTTACTGAATATATACATGTATAAGAATATTCTGTAAAAGGAAAATAAAATCAAAAGGAAATAAAATCAAACATTAATTCTAATGACCCTATCCTATCAAATCTCTGTAATTACAGAATGAATCCCTCTAATGTCTCTTTAATTATTCCCATACTTCCCCTCAAGTTGGATCATAGATACTAATTATGTCCAACTTGCTTATACAATTATCAAAAGTGGGTTTGTGCAATCCTTTTGTCAATACATTTGCTGCTTGGAGATTTGTTGGTAGAAAAGTTAGACATATGATTCCATCTTCCACCTTCTCTCTGATAAAGTGTCTGTCTATCTTCACATGCTTGGATCTCTCATATTGGATAGGATTCAACGCCATGTTGCAGCCTTCTTATCACAATATAGTTTGAGAGGTAGATCAAGTTGAACATGGATCTCTTCCAAAACCCTCTTTAACCACAATTCAAATTCAGCACTACTTTTGCATACAACTCTTTGCTTTTGATTTTTTCCAAGTAACCAGATTTCCCCATACAAATAAGCAATACCCAAAAGTAGATCTCCTATCTAGGCGATGTCCACCCAAATCTGCATCTATATTTAACTCTATATTCCTTTATTCATGCTTTTGAAACAGTAAACCTCGTCTAGGATTTCCCTTTAGGTACCTTAAGATTCTGTATGCTGCTTCCATATGTTTTTCCTTTGGTTCACACATATTCTGGCTAGCAACACTCACAGCAAATGCTATGTTGGGTCGTGTGTGTGATAAATAAATGAGTTTCCCAACAAGCCTTTGGTATCTTTCTTTATCTGTTGGCTTCTCTTTCTTTTTATCCTCTTCTTCCTCAATATGGTCACCTTCTTCGTTTAAGCTGCCCTTTTCTTTCTTGGATTTTTGCTTCTTCTTTGAAACAACAATGGGGGTTTCAACAGGTTTACACCCCAACATACCTGTCTCCTTTAAGAGATCAAGTACATACTTCCTTTGAGACACAAATGCCTTGCTTTGATCTTGCAACTTCCATTCCCAAGAAATACTTCAAACAGCCTAAGTCCTTGACCTTGAATGCTTTCCCCAGAACAGCCCTTACTCTTGCCACTTCCTCACTATGAGCACCAGTGATGATTATATCATCAACGTATATAATAAGGACACCCCTCTTACTCCCCTCTACTTTAACGAATATTATATGATCCGATAGTCCTTGATTGTAGCCTTGTAGCTTTAGGACTTTTGAGAATCTATTGAACCACACTCTTGGAGACTGTTGTAACCCATATAATGATTTCATCAATTTACATACCTGATTCTTCCTTCCTTTATTAAAGCCAGGAGGTAGAGTCATATAGATTTCTTCTTTCAACTCTCTATTTAGGAAGGCGTTTTTGATGTCCAATTGGTGTAACGGCCATTCAAGATTGGCTGCTATAGATAACAATACTCAGATGATATTTAGTTTTGCCATTGGTGTGAATGTTTCCTGGTAGTCAATGCCATAAGTTTGTGTAAACCCTCTTGCCACCAATCAAGCCTTCAACTTATAAAGATTTCTGTCAGCTTTATATTTGGAGGTAAATACCCATTTGCAACTAACCAGCTTCTTGTTTCTTGGTGTTTGCACAATCTCCCAGGTCTCATTTTCTTCCAAGGCTTTCATTCCTTCCAAGACAGCTTCTCTCGATCCAGATGTTTTCAGGGCCTCATGAATGTCTTTAGGAATACAGACACCATCTACATTCGCAATAAAGGCTTGATATTCAGGGGATAAGGCTTTATAAGATAGAAACGTCTGAATAGGATGTTGTGTACATGATCTTGGCTTCTTCCTGAGGCAACTCCAGGTCATCTTCTAAATTTTCTGAACCTTTTTCCTCATCAAGGTTACCGTTCTCATTTTCTTCTTTAGGACTATCTCCCATAGAATCTGTCATCGGTTCTGATTCTGGTATTGCTTTAGGTATGAGAGCTTTTGTACCATGCTTCTTCTTTCGTGTGTAAACTTTAATCTCCTTACCTTTTGCATTTGTGTTCTTGTCTCCCCCTGAACCTGCATTTTCTCTTGTTTCTAGAATAAAAGAGATAGGCTCAAGCAAAGTGGGATGGTCAAGAGAATCAATAGGCTTAATGGGAGAATATTCCTGAGATTCACTCCAACTCTCCCCCTAAATTGAAGGAGATGAATGGGGAGGTTCATGTTTAGAAAAAGTAACATCATGACTGACAAATAAACGTTTAGAAGATGGATCAAAGCATTTATAGCCCTTTTCGTGTGAGGAGTAAGCAAGAAACACACACTTGACAACTTGTGGGTTAAGTTTGGAAGAGGAATGGAGATGAACAAATGTAGAACACCCAAATAACTTTAACGGAAGAACGGTTTCAAGATGAGTGAGAGAGTGGGTTTGCCGGAGACACTTAAGAGGTGTGGTGTATGATAGGATTTTTGGGGGCATTCGATTAATAAGATAGGTGGCAGTAAGAATGGCATCTCCCTAAAAATATTTTGGCACATTTGTGGCAAACATAAGAGCACGGGCAACATCCAATAAGTGTCTATTTTTGCGTTCGGTCACCCCATTTTATTGGGGGGTATTTGCATAGGAAGTCTTTTGGATGATACCCCAAGTTTTAAGGAAGTCACTTAGAGACTTGTTGACATATTCAATGCTATTATCAGTTTGGAGAATTTTGATGGACGTGTTAAATTGATTGAGAACCATGGCATATAATTCAACAAAAATGGATGGCACTTTAAATTTATCTCTCATTAAATACACCCAACGCACGAGTATGGTCATCAGTAAAGGTGACAAACCATTTAGCTCTAGTTTGATTAGAGACACGAGATGGACCCCAAACATCACTATGAACAAGGGAAAAAGGTTTAGAGGGCTTATATTTAGATTGCAGAAAAGAAGAGCAATGATGTTTAGCCAATTCACAAATATGGCAATGAAAATTAGAAATTTTATTGGATGAAAATTGGGGAAACAAATGACTCAAATATTGGACATTAGGATAACCCATTCTTTTATGCCATAACAAAAGATCAGCTTGTTTAGAAGTAGACATAAGGTTGCAATAGATTCGGGACCATAGATTACTCACAGTTGATTCTTTAAGGTAGTAGAGCCCATCACACTCCTCAGCGTGCCAATCATCCTCCTTGATGAGAGATCTTGGAAAATACAGTGAGTAGAGAAGAAATGCGCACTACATTTGGCTTGTTTTGTTAACTTGCTGATAGATAGTAAATTGCAAGCAAGATAGGGAATATGAAGAATAGAGTCAAGGTTCAGAAATTTAGAAATAGTGATACTACCCTTTACTACAATGGAAGAGGAGGTACCGTTTGCCGTGTCAATTTTCTTATGTCCAGTACAAGGAAAGTATGAGGTAAACAAAGTAGAGTCTGCAGTCATGTGATTTGAGGCTTCAGAGTCAACAATCCACTTAGATTTAGTGGAACATACATTGAATGCAAAATGAGAATTACCTTGCTTAGCAACGGAACCATTATGAGATGGAGAAGGTGACTGGTTGGCTTGTAAAGTATGAAGCATCTCTAGAAGCTGATTTAACTTGTCCTTGTTAATGGTAGGTAAGGTATCCGATTTGTCTGAAGCATGACTAGATTTGTTTGAAGTAGAATCAGAAGTAGTTTGATAGCCACGGGATTTACCTTTAGGTGGTTTTCTATGGAGGTCCCAACATTTTACTTTTGAGTGGCCTATCTTTTTGCAATGCTCACACACAAGTTTCCTTTTTGATTCCTTTTGGCCTTGAACAAATTGTCTGCTCATTAAGGCAAAGGACTCAGATGAAGGAAGAGCCGATGAAAGTCCAGGTAACATCACCTTGCAATGAGAAGCCTCACATTAAACCTCAACGAATGCATCATGAGTAGATGGTAGAGGGGAGCGAGCCAGAATGCGACTACAAACATCATCTAATGATTGATGAAGGCTAGCCAAGAATTGGAATACTTGCTCATCTTCAGAAAGCTTTTTATAACGTGCTGCATCACTAGGACAGGACCATTTAGCTTCTATGTTAAGATCAATCTCTTGCCACACAGAGACTAACTCCAATAGAATTTAGTGAGATCACGCTCACCTTGTTTGATATGCTAACTTTGAGTTTTGAGATTATAAATTTAAGCACCGTCTTCACCATTCGAGGACTCCTTGACTGCATCCTAAATATCTCGTGCTGTCGGGAGAAACATAAAGGATCCCCTGATTTGAGGAGTCATAATGTTAACTAACCAAGAAGCCACCAGAGAATTTTCAGTCTCCCACTTCACCAAGGTAGCCAAATCTGATACGTCTGGTGGTTTGGATATACCTAAGATAAGACCAAGCTTCCCATGGCCTCCAACAGCCAGTTGAACACTCTGGGCCCACTCATGATAATTGGTCCCATTGAATTTCTTGGACACCAGGATTAGAGATGAACCCTTTGCAGAACTCAACCTAAGGGGAGTTCCACCATTTGGGGTGTTTTCAAGTCTGTCTAAGTGCGTAAACCTATGAACGCAGTGGGTCGGGTATGTGAGTTTGACTTTCACCTGGTTCTGTTGTCTCTGTCTGAGTAGCAAAGGTTAGTGTCTGCAAGCTTTGATACCATGTCGTTGAAGACGAGCCAGAGGAGAACTAGATCACTTTTATTCAGCAATATTTACAAAGTATATGCACGTATAAGAATGGTCTGTAAAAGGAAAATAAAATCAAATATTAATTCTAATGACCCCTGTCCTATCAAATCTCTATAATTACGGATGAATCCCTTTAATATCTCTTTAATTATTCCCACAGAATCCTCTAGCCACCAATCGAGCCTTCAATTTTTTGAGATTCCCATTTGCATTGTACTTTAGGGTGAAAACCCACTTACAGCTCACAAGCTTCTTGTTCTTTGGTTTATTCACAACTTCCCATGTTCCATTTTCTTCTAGAGCTTTCATTTCCTCCAAGATAGCTTCTCTCCATCCTGGGGATTTCAAGGCTTTTAGGATGTTATTCAGGATACTGACCTTATCAATGCTTGCAATGAAGGCTTGATACCTAGGAGATAAGGCTACATATGACATATATTTTTGAATTGGGTGTTGTGTACAGACTTAGGGTTTTTTCCTGAGACCAATGGGCATGTTCGAATCACTTTTTGATGCCATTGAAATCTCCCTTACATTATCATTTTCATCTACAATTTCTATGATATTCTCATTTCCCTTTCTAAAATGTTTCACTGAGTCTGAATCAAGGCTTGCGTTGGATGTGAGAGGTTTAGTCCCTTGCCTCGTCTTCCGTTTGTATACTTTGAGCTCTTTCTCTGAGGCACTTATGTCCTTGTCCTCTGCTCCTGCATTTTCTTTTGTTTCTGGAATAAAAGAAATAGACAAAAGTTCAAGAGAAGATGAAAGAATGGGAACACGAGAGTACTCAAAGAGCGACTAAAATCCATTCTAGTTCTCTCCCTGAATTGAAGGAGTAGTATAGAAGGACTCATTTTCAGAGAAGGTGACATCATGACTAACAAAGAGACATTTAGAGAAAAGATCAAAACATTTATAACCTTTTTGAGAGGAAGAGTAACCAATAAACCAACATTTCACTGCCCTAGGTTCAAGTTTGGATGTGGATTTAAGATGAATAAAGGCTGAACACCCAAATATTCATAGATTAGTTTCAAGGTGTTTAAGTAAATGTGTCTCACAGAGGCGCTCAAGAGAGGTTACATAGGATAACACCTTGCTTGGTATATGGTTGATAAGATAGGCGGAGTTAGAATAGCATCACCTTAAAAAATTTTTGGCATCTGAATGGTAAACATAAGGGCACGGGCAACTTCAAATAAGTGTTTATTTTTTGCTCGGCAATTCCATTTTGTTGAGGGCTGTGCACAAGATGTTTTATGAACTATGCCTCTTGCTTTAAAAAAAATCACTCATGTTTTTGTTCAAGTATTTAGTGCTATTATCGGATTGAAGAATTTGTGTTGAGGTGTGAAATTAGTTTAGAATCATGGTGTAGAATTCAATGAATATAGAGGTCACTTTAGATTTTTTTGAGTAAATATACCTAATAGACACGACTATAATCATCTACAAAGGCAACGAACTATTTGGCTTGAGTTTGATTCAGAATACGCGAAAGGCCCCAAACATCACTATGAATAACCAAAAATGGTTTAGATGCTTTGTAATCAGAGCAGGGAAAAGAAGAATGGTGGTGTTTTGCCAATTCACAAGTGTCACAATAAAAACTAGAAATTTTATTTGATGAAATTTGAGGAAACAAATGACTTAAATACTGGACATTGGGATGACCTATTCTTTTATGCCATAACAAAAGGTCATTATTCTTAGAGGCGGACACAAGATTGCACCGAATTCAAGATCAAAGATTACTCAGTTGATTCACCAAGGTAGTAGAGCCCATCACATTCTTTAGTACTGCCAATCATCAACCTTGATGATAGATCTTGAAAAATGCAATTGGTAAAAAAGAAATGAGCATTACAATGGGCTTGCTTAGTCAATTTGCTGATAGACAACAAGTTACAAGCTAGATATGGAATATGAAGAATTGAAACTAATCATAAAAAATCAGAGATACTTATGCTTTCCTTTCCAACAATAGAAGAAGTTCCATTAGCAATATCAATTTTTTCATGCCAACTACATGGAGAATAAGATGTAAACAAAGTAGAGTCCACAGTCATATGATCTGAGGCACTAGAATCAACAATTCATCAGGATTTATGGAAAGATGCATTCAAAGCATAATTACTATT